GAATCCAAAAAAAAACACCAAAAAATTTATTTTATAAGCTGACAAGAATTTCTGATGTCGTCATTTGAAATAAGTGCAACAATGAGCTGAAGGTATAGTAAAAAAAAATCAATAAATGTGCTAGGACATTTCGATTAGGGCCAAAGATCTTAGCAACAATTACGGATCGTAAGAAAAGTTAGTGTTGAAGTCCTTTCTGATCCGAGTTAATCTGGATAGAGGATATCATCGAAGATGAAAACAAAGAAGACTCACAAATCTCAAAGCAGTCATGGTTTTAACAAACATTCTACTGACTTGAATGATCTTATTTCTGTTCAGAGATGGTAGTGAAAGAGAACGAATAAAAAGAGAGGAAGAAAAACACCTTAACAATCAGTCAAATTCACCACAGAGAAAACAGTTGATAATAAAATATGTGCTAAAATAATTATCGGAGAAAATATTGATTTCAGGAATCTTAATGGATGCTGGCCGTCACTGATAAAAGAAACACAACGTAACATCAGAATTTACAATGAAAAGAGCACAGATGAAAAACTCGCTAGAAGCAAAGTCGCTCCACCATTTTCCTTGTCATCCTCTGACATGCCAGCTGGAAATGTTGTTTGCTATGAACAACTTTTTGCATAAGAAATGCTGACCACGAAGATTCCTAGTGTTCATCAGCAGCAGATTTGATGAACGCTAACCTTACGTCAGGGATGGATTCTCCGGTGATCGTGACTCGTCACTACCATTCAGTCCAGTTGCGGACACTAACGGATGGTAGATGGACGCCCATGCATATGAAGGAAACATTGGTTGCCTCTGAAAAATAACTGAATGGGTAGTGGAATTCATTTTCTGGAATTCGATGTTTGATACACATCGCCATAAGCACCTGCTATTCAAGAAGATAACGAAAATGCAGTCGATAAAACGGTTTCGAAATGCGATGTTCTCAAACAATGGATTTGCTTCCTTTCTTTAAGTATACGTCGCTTCTCAAGGTTTCATCGCCTTACAGTGATGGTTAGAGAGAAAAGAGATTTTCATGGGCTAATTTAGCACCTGCAGTTCGATGTCTCCATCAGAAAGCTCAACTAAGAGTGAACTGATACCAGGATCCACCACTGTACTGGTATGAAACAAGTCGCATGGTGGCAAATCTCCCTATGATCCAGAAGGGAGGCGATGGCCTGTGGTAGTGACCACCTGAGGCAGCCTTTGGCCTAGCTGACCTCGGGATTCCAAGGAAACATAATGGCTAAGCCTGCAAGACTCCGAAAAATGGAGAATATGCTGGGGCCCGCACAACTAGTGAGGGTGGGCCGTCCAAGTATCCACCCAAGTAGTTCCATCGACCATACACATAGGAGGAATAAGAATCTTTGAAAGATCAGCCACATCTCTGTCATGAATAAATAATCTGTACTAGAACACTTTTGCATCTGTTTGATAGAAATACGTTCGGAAATGTCAATAAACTGTTTAGGCTACTAGCACATCCTATAAGTTTAAAAAACCAAGTGACTTACTGATGCTGTGAAAACACTTCTCTTACGAACGACTTTCTATTGAACTCGGCAGTGATCGAACAATTCCTTATATTCTAGTTGAGCAAACACGAGGTTTTATTTAACTGTTTAACCACGAGGTGTAAACAGCACCTATCTCTGTTGAACAGTATCTTATTCCTTTGTTTATATTTCGTAAGATAACGATGCAGAGATATGAGCTAAAGGTGGACCTCAGGTGGATTTCGAACCTGTAATTGCGTTTTCCAAGGGTTCAGGCGCTCTCCAACACGCTTGGCTTAGAGAGAGAGACAAAGCAACGGCCTCAGTTGGTGTGGTGGATGGTATGGGAACCCCGGAAAGGATAATCGTAGGCTCGAAGTTTATTGGGCCCCATCAGCTCTTCCACTTGTTTTTTTGTATTGCAACAATAATCCTTGAGTTCTTTGCTGATTAGGTTACCAGTTCAGGTTCTGTTATTTCCTCTCCTAATTGAATTGAAACATTCTCAACTGGTAAATAACGCGCTCTTTCGTGGAATCTCAAGGAAGCTGTATGAAGGCGTCCCGATACTAATCGCGATCGAATTCAACCGTTTTGAACAGGATAGGGGCTTGCACCATTCGACATGGATGCTTTTGCAACGGCAACATCCAGCTGATGTGACAAACTAGTTGACAGATAGATTGAAGGCGATGTACAAAGCCAAAGACCATGTGAATTTTCGCTCCAAGGAATTTTGTTAGCCACAATTTGCAATTTTGAGCGTAATATTTAATTAAAATTTTATTGCCATTGCTACGTAGGCACCTCGGGCTAGGTCGGAGTTTGTAAAGGAAATTCCTCACACTGCGTCCGCGGAAAAGCGATTGCTTCTCAAGATTTCTTAAACTCGTATGCGGTCTCTGATAGTACTAACAGAACAAAAACCTTTACAGTTCACTTTTCTGTGTCATCAATCCCCTGCTCGAAATTTGTTATTTGGAAAGTGTCAGTAACATGAAAATCTTAAGTGATACAGTGAGCTTGGCTAACGATGGAACAAACTCACCGTTAGTAGGGACTCCATCGAAAACGACGCGTTTAAATCGCTTGCTGTCACGCCGACTCGAGACAATGTTTCAGTACGCATTGCGCAATTCTAAAACAAAGTATAAACAAATGTAAACAAAATACGACTATCAATCGCCTTACTCAAATATTTGCTTTGGTTGTGATAACAGAGACTGTAGGGATGGGCGAAGAATTCTGCTGCTCATTTCATGATTTCATGGCTGGGTGTATGGTAGATTTAGCTGCGTTCAGTGGGTTGGTGACCATTCACAAACACGAGGTTTTCTCAATGTTGACTTTTTATTTAGTTCCTTTTACAAGTTTCAAGGCAGGCTATTATTTGTGAAACAACCACAATGATGCTGAGATATTTGCAAAACTCCGGACCACAGGTGCCTGCGGTGGGGAACGAACGCACTATTGTCCTTCCCAAGAAGTAACGCGTTCACCACCACACTATGCCAGCCCTTCGTTTCGCCTGTCTCTCAGCTAGTCCTATCGATCAGTACCATCAGCAATCACCCGTCAACGGGAATGATCTGGGAAGCACAAATGGGCATTGAACCCGAACGCGGAAAGGATAATAGTGCGTTCGTATCCCACCGCAGATACCTGCGGTCCGGAGTTTTGCAAATACCTCAGCATCATTGTGGTTGCTTTATAAGATTTTCTCACTAACAGCTAGTTATTTCGAAAACGTGGTTTGGAAAAGTGAAGTATAAAGTATGCCGAGACGAATTCGTACTTTGACCTATAGAATTGTGCTATACGGTATGCTTAATTTGTAAAACTACAAATAGATAGAGAACATTGGGTTAATTTTCAACTAAACTTGGCTTATAGATCATTAGAAATAGCAATAAAATGGCTTACCCCTTCATCCTAACACATGTCGACGCAACTTTGTACAACTACAGTACGAGGTTGGCTTACGTTCCGAATTACTAAGACTAAGAACGATTCCATACTTTCACTCTAAACGCAGCAAAGACTGAACAGCGTCACTGACCAGTATGGGACGAGTTCTAAGCGGTGTTTGATCACACGAAAAAAGAATTGAAGGAAAATCGTGAATTTCTAGTGGTCACCAGTTTTTCTAACAGGATACATTAAATAATGCTACTGATTGGTTTCGAAAACTCAAACAAACCTCTAAAATCAAGCGTCTATTGATTTTTCGAATACAGGCAAAATGCTGAATAGCCTGAAGTACATCGCCATTGAGTGCTAAAAACATTTCCTCATTCCTTCTTCTCTTTTCCTCTGTTTTCAATTTTTGCTAAGCAAGAAAAAGATAAGAACTAGAAAAGAGGAAATATAAGATGGATAGATAACTAGAAAGCAAGAGATTATAGGAAGCAAAACTGGTTAGAACAACTGCTATGTGTTTATAAATAAAATGACAGATAATAGCATTACGAAGGAAATTTGGCGAAGAAGAACTCCTAGAAATTTCTGTAGGAAAAGAAAAACCAAAACTGGTAACAGCTATGATATAATCACATAAAAGCTATTGGTATAATTGAAGCTTTAGCGTCTCATTTACGTAAATTAACGGGGTTCGAGTAGTGCGGTGATCTTCGCAAGACCATCGTTCCCTCGATGACAATTTCTCTCTTTCTGACTAAATTTAGAAAAAAAGTGCTGCAAATCTTTTAGTACACGAAGTTGAATCCAATTTTCGTTTATACTTCTCCTTTGGAACAGCTATCGCTCTTGGTCGTCTATGTGCCCACTCTTCTATTCTCCTCCAGGCCACCACAATACGGTAATCTCTACCAATCATTACTCATTCAATGTTATGAATTGCTGTCTTCGGATTTAATATTAAAATGATGCGACTCACATTCTAACACAATCTCAAGAACGCGTTTCTCTTGCTCGTCAAACAGTATTGTGAGCAGTTCAATTGCAGAAAGCCGGCTTGGCATAGTCTCATCGTTCCGATTCTTATTCGACGGTGATGGATCTTTGACGGGCGAACAAGTCGAGGCTAGAATTTGTTTCGCAATTTTGCTAGATGACCTTTAAACTTAATTGGCTACTTACATTTGTCTCATATACTTTAAGTGGTGCTGTAGTTATTATGTGTGCTCTGTAGTACACATCTTCTCAATGGTTCGCTCTCTTGAGCAAACCAAGATGCCCATCCCTTCTGGATCGGCAAATTTACATAACTTGTCTGGGAGGGTAGAAATACTGACTCGTCATACCAGCACGCCTTGTTCAGCGTAAATTTGCAACCTACCACCTCTATGTTGCTTGATGAAGTCGGTCGAATGCATCGCACATACCTAGGGAATTCACTTACCCCATGAAAATTGAGACAGTTTGTTCAATTCAGCTCATGTTTCTAAATTTTACCGAAAGCTAACAAATTTTTGAAGTGTTTTACAATTTCTGGAATTCTAACACTGTTATGCCGATGCCCACTTATTGCAATGTATTTTATTTTTGACCACTTATATTACGAAATAAATACTTCCTGATGCATCTTTACAATTTATCGATAGACTTCCCACTACAGATGTAAAGTCGGGCGTGTTCCAAAAATAGCTTTTGTCTACAAAATTTTATAACATGTAAAGAACGTTTTACGGACGAGTTTTTTCGCCAAGGCATAGAGACGGTTGCTGGTGAGGAGGGTGCAAGGATACTTTGCCAGATTAAAACTCTAAAAAGCTCTCGGCGTTGATCAATTCCTGAGGGATGCGCCATGCATTCGGCTTCACTAAGTATCGTTGGAGGTGACTGAATGCATATCTGACCTGTACAATGACTCACAGTGGCCTATCGATGTACCGCGCCAGTATTGCTATCCTCCCAGATAAGTCTGGTACCAATTTTCCGACCTCGGAGGGATGGAAGGCCTGGTGAGCCACGGACGCAGGGTTCGATTCCACGTGTGTGTCGCAGTGACGCCTCCGACCACTGCGCCACATGCGCCCTTGCCAAATTAGGATACCATAGATGAAGGACGGTCTCAATTTTCCCTGCTTAACGAATACATATACACAAATCCGGCAAAGGTTGCTTGCCTTTTGTATTGGATGGGTAATAAAGGGAATGGATAATGCTCAATGTTTCTTTTTGGAAGGAGGCATACAACCGATAGTCTGCACTGAGTTCGATGCGCGCCGGACGCATTGGAACATAATGCGTCCTCTCATGGCGCAGGTGTGCAAAAATTTGGTATCTCTTCTCTTCTACAAAACTGCTTGCTAAGCTCAGAACCGTTGTCGTCGTTATCTTGATCTTCATCGGTCGTGGCATTCCATAGAGGTCCTTGTGGTAGATGCTCGATAGCCTGACCTGCCACCATCCTAAACATATCTGAAGAAGATCATTAAACGTTAAAAAGTCAGAAATAGCTAACTTACTAAAATAAGTTTCAACATTGTGCTGTTCGAAAGTGCTTAAATGATTTGAGCACGCTATTGAGTTGCCCAAAACTATGTATTTCAAAAAAGCAAGAATTACAGAAGGAACACCAGTTACTTGCAACCCACTAGTTCTTTAGTAGTCTGAAAGACAAGCTCCAGAAAATTAATGATTTTTAACATATCCGGGACAGTTTCTGAACGCGTGGGAATCTTAGGTAGATAGTTCCGTAAAATTTTGTGAGAGTGAGGGAACCCTACTAAGGGAAAACTTAAAAACATTAAATCCGCGTTTCATTTATAGAACTTTACTTCAGCACCAACATGTTGGCCAGAATGGTCATTTGTTAAAAGAGGACGGTCGTTAGAAAAGTGAGTGCTTTGCAACTAGTAGACAAATCTGGTAAAAACACAGTCAAAAAACGGAACAGTATCGAAGTTTAAGTCGAAAGGGTTTGCTCGGTTTGGAATTAAACGAACTCACAGCGATATGCACGCCTGTGATGTCTTATTGTGCTAGTTCAAAGTAAAGTTAATGTTGTATATTTGCAGTAACATCATCTCCTCTAGAAGCAATCTTTATTGCAAAACAATTATGACACCTAAAATTTTTAAGTGGCGTAGAAGTTTTGCTACATAAACAAAAATGGTTACCGTAATCCGAGTGCGATTGCGTCCTCAGTGGCTTGCTTTCGTTTCAACGCCACCTGTGCAGCCATCACTCGTTGTCGTTCAGCGATCAGATTACATTTCTCGCATGCACATTCCCTCAAGATAGTATGAATATAGATATAAAGTTATTGTTTGAGATACAATATATCAATTTCTTTATTCGGGCAGATTTTTCGAAAAGGAGCGCTTTGAAGGATCTCTGATTAGTCGAAGAATGATGATTTCATCCATTCAAAATCACTGAAATAGCCTTAAGAGGTTCCTTATCTTTTTCAAGGTAATCTTGCTTTCATGTAAAAAGAAATAACTTTTCTCAAACGCTCAGAAGAGTGGCCATTCCACGAGCATTTGTGTATTTATACTTAATAGATAAAAAAAGCTGTACTGTAACTCAAAGAAGCTATCGTTATGTTTTATTAATCGCAGGCCTTTGCACCAATTTCTCTAATGATTCGAGTTTTTTTATGGAAAGCGTGTGGTTTCAGTTTTACTACCTTAACATAAATGTTGTATGTCCTACTGGTTATCTCAGAATCAGTGTTTAATGACAGTTGTCAAAACACGGAATTCTCTTAGACCAAAAAGAAATCTAACATCTTTGTCCAATGTAACAGAAAACCTTTGAAAAATTTTACACCTTCTTGAAAAACTTTAGATATTGAAGTTTTAAGCATGAAATTTTCCACCAACTATGGGTCTTGCTCTACAAGCCGTACTCAGATATGATTCCCACCCTTAGCCCAGCTCTCGTCAAGATTGCAAGAAGTATCTACTGGACCAGCATTCTACAGCATTCATAGAGGCGATGAAATCCCTAACCAGCAACCAACACGCAAAATGTTTTGAAGACCATTATGGATGTTGGATGCGAAAAAAAGCGAATCAAATGCAAAGTGCTGAGACCTGCACGGCAGATCTGATGACGGGTAATGTAAAATAAACAATGATAAAAACTTCTTATCAAACGCGACCAGAATACCCTCTTTTATCATGATATAGTGATAAGTTGCCACAAAACTAGAAGTTGATAAGTTATGCGTGTTAGTTCTTCGGATCTATTTGTTACTTCGTGCAAAATGGGCAAAGAATGGAGTTGAGGGATATCCGACGGTGACTTATTGCACTGTCACTGGATGAAGTTTTGTTCCACATGTAACCTATGACTCCGTATTGTAGCAACTCGGTGAATGTTATGCAGCGGAAATTGACATGCCATAGCGTTTATGGCGACAGAGATCATAAACAGCATAAAAAATGAACTGATGACTTAGGAAGCTGTTATATAGCTAAAAACCTCGCTTATACTGCTCGATGAAACTTGAAGATTGGCATCACCATTGTAAGTGTCAACGGTTGAATACATGAATAGCTGCTGCTCACGAACCATGACGGTCACAGGAGCCGTTCTTCCCTATCCTGGTCCATGGGACCATCCTTCATGGGTGGATAAAGTCTTTTTCGTCGATTTCGAGAATGTCAGTAAGAATCATTGTTTGATGAAACTTTCGCTCAGCTAGAAGTACAGCTTCTCGGCAATGATAAGAAGCACGTTTCTTTTGTAGGAGGTCTACAGTGAAGATGACTGTGTTCAGGTACAGTTATGTTACATGTACTACTCCCCGTTTAATTTCCATCTTCTCCTTAAACAATGACTAGTCCACAATTTTACAACTCTGGTTATTTTTCTTTTACAGTTATGGCTCAAAAGCAGAGAGGATCAAGGACTTCGTTGCAATTGGTTTCACACTCTTTTCCTGTCTTTTTAAAACTATGTCACATTAATGAGCAGTGTCTTGTAGAAAAAAAAGGTTTTTTCTATCCATAGAAGACTTATAAATCATACTTTCAGAGCTAGAAAGGAACACTTAGTTATTCTTTGTCCTTTGCATATTTCTAAAAATTAGATGCTTAGATTTCCCCTGATTAAGATACGGTGCTTTAAGCCCCGATAGCGTCACGCTTTTGAGTTCCTATAAAGCGAAGTGTCCTCAAGCGAAAGACCAACGAATAGTGTTGAGCGTGTTGCTTACAGACAGCCGTACGATGCCTCGTCTATTTGCGGGTCCCATCGCCAGCTTAACGGTCTTGAGCACTCGAGTGTCCATCAATTGCTCGGATAGTTTGGGCCTCATTCTGTTTGCACTTCACCACCACCACCACCATCACCCCGAAGGCCGCCACCACAACCAACACTATCACGTCGGTGATTACCGTAACACATGCGCAACACTAACAATACGCAACGATACTAGGCAAACAATGAACTGCGGGAGAACTAACACTTAACGCGGGAAACTGCACAGTAAAATAGAGGTGAGTTGGGTACTGGGTGAGATAAATTTCCTGGCTGTGATACTACCACATCATTCACAAAAATTGTAACTGTCTTCTTCGTAACGAAAAATCTATCTCAAACAACTGAGACTAAGAACACAGTGAACCACTGAGTGGTAAGAAAGGACATGAACCGTAGGATTGACCCAGCAACGTACATCGAGATCTATGGCGAAGACTTTTCAATAAATAAACATTTGTATTTTGTGCTGACCATTATCATTCCATGCAAACCTAAAAGCCTTTACTGTATTCAGGATTCCTGCCGTATTAAACCGAAATCATTTATTCTCCACCATCTATAACTCCACTAATCATCGAATAAGTTTAGCGCATACCAGTAAACCATACCACACCTGATGGAGTGCACAGATTTTGGAATGATGCCTGTTTCACCGCTAATGGCGTAGAATCTATCCGCAGATACTTTATCTGACACAGGTTTGCTCTCAGCTATGTTTCTGAATAAAAATTTCGAATTCCCTTTCAGTCTCCTATTTTTAGCAAATCCTTCCTGAATCACCATTCATAGGGCTTCTGAAGGTATACTGTAACCCAGCAAGCAATAATCGCATCTAGTTTAGCGGTTAGAGGTGGCTTGAAATGTTATATGGTCGTCGGTTCGAGCTCACATCCGGCGTAGGCCAAGTTGTCCATCCATCCGGGGCCGACCCGAAAATTGTCAACAGGCGCCAAATCTGCTGCGAGGATAAAAACACCTATTTGAAACATCGACCAGATACGAATTCACCCGCCTCTAAGAAAGAGATTGATTGACGCCGAGCGCTGCATCTTCTATCGAAAACGTTTACTGCTCACCTTACTCCATTCCACTCTAACAGATTTGGTAAGTGATGTGTTGTTATAAGTGTTTATTGACATCGTGCACGTTCGTATTTGATTTCGCCCGATCCGCTTACTCGCAATCGCCAAGTGGGTGAAATCAATGAGAAGGACATTTAAAAAATCGTGAAAATGAAAAGATAATGAAACAATAAGTGTTCCAAGAACCAGAACTAACTCGAGTATTAGAAGAATGCAGAAGAAGACAATCAAGAACGCTTAGCTGTTGCAGAACATCCGACGCCCAACAAGACTTCGAAGAAGGTATTAGAAAGTAATTGCTGATGGTTTAGATAGCTGAACCTGTTGTAAATCCTTGAGTTTTTCTTTTACTGACATCACTACGAGGAACGAATACCAACATTCAAGATTTCTGAGAACCTCAACAAAGGTTAACTTACGGGCGAATTAATTGCTTGGTAACCTCGTTCTTCATCATTTTCCACAACGAATGAAAAAGTGGCAACTTTGATGCCACACCCCCCGCCCCCGCCGCCGGTTGCTGTGGGCTATGATGTTTTCATGACACTTTCATCAATGTGCACTTGTGAAAATCATCTCTCTTAAAAATGATGGGAATCGGAATAAAATCTTTCGGAAAGAAATGATTTCTAAGCGAATTTTTTAAAATCTACTTTTATCTCCTGAATCCTCATAACATTTAAACTTTGCTTGAAATAAAAATCTTGAAAATAGAAGATAAAAATATGAATAAAAGCCTTTCTACGTAATTCATTTATTGAAACGGAAATAAAGAAGAAACCAAATCGATGAAGAGTTTGTACGAAGCTTTTAAAAAAAACGAAATCATTGAAGAATTAAGTGCTCAATCATTCCTCCGTGTACTTTCGTACAAGTACATCGGATAAAATATTCATTTTTTTTCGGGTAACCACAAAGCAATGGGCGCGCAACGTAGTGGTTAGTGGCACCCTGCACTAAGCACGTGGTTCTTGTTTCCATCCTAAGCAAGGAGAAACCAAACAGTCCACTCTTCTGGGTCGGCGAATTCTTATCAGAGTGGCCCGAGAATATGGACATACTTCTTTGATATATCAGTAGATCACCAGCAATTTACTAGGTGGGCCAAATATGAATTCGGTTATGTTCGTTGCTACGAACCTGAGAGAACAATCAATGCCGAACGGTCTACCTTTTATTTACCGTTTTACTGCAATAAAGAATAAAACACTGTAATATTAGAAATTTACTAAGTGTCATCTGCACTTACTTATAGCGACAATGACGTTTATGTCCCTTAAGCCACGAGACGATGCCGTGATTACGGCAACGAGCGCATTTCGGCTTTCGTTCACGTTCAATTCGACGACCAGTAAAAGTGATCGGAAATCCACCAAGCATCATTCTTTTCTGGAATCAAAATAAGATACATCGTGTTCATGCACGAAAACAAAAAACAATTTTTATGAAAATCTCTGCTAGAGAAGACTGTGTTGGCAAGAAGAAGAAGTGTTATATTAAGTATTAATAAACCACTAGAGAGCTTGGTTCGATGATAAAGTATGGAAGGTGATGAAAATCATGACAGTCATAATCAACGAAGCATTTCATGCAGAAGGTTGGCGCTAATCATTATTTGCATTCATTTTTTGTAAATCATTTTCTTTTAGAAATGGGACTTTTTCGAACTTCTTACCAGACTGAATTCTTATGCCATTTTTAAGACGAATATTATAAAAAATCCTCCCAACGGTTTACCGCCTCAACGTGGCTGGGAGGTGTTCCTAGGTGTCGGACTGCGATGTACAGTGGGTGGATTCATCTCCCCGGAAGGGTCTTCAAAGAACGAGTCTGGCGTAACCATCAAGAAGCCCAGCTAAGAGTAAACCAATGCCAGGATCCACCGCCTTGGTATCAGAGTCGCATGGTGGCAAATCTCTCTCTGACCCACAAGGGCTGCGATTGCCTGTGTGATGAAGACCTGGAGCAGACTTTGGCCAAGCTGACGTCGGGACTCCAGCGAACCACAATGGATAATCCAGCAAAACTCTGAAAGATAGAGAATATGCTGAGGCCAGCACAACCAGTGAAGATGGCCATCCAAGTATCTAAGTAAGTAAGGTGAACTTACTGCAAAAGAACAGTAGTTATTACCAACATTTATTAGTGGTTATTATTAAATAATTTGTGGTGAACTTATTTACAATGATAAAAAACAAGTTAACGCCTCTCCATAAAGCTGCAGAACTTTTTAGTTTTTTAAGGTTAACTTGCTGTCAAAGAACAACCCATTAATCATTGTAATATTCGAAGGCCATTGGTACGCAGTCGCCAATTAAGTGAACAAAACTCTTACAACTACCAAAATACTTGGCAAAATACCAATTTGGCTCGTTTTCCTGATCCTAGGCGAAATTTTCTGAATATTATCCCCTAGTCAGTGACTATTAGTGGCCAATCTAACATTTATTAATTGGTTATTATTAATTACTGTATGTTCATTTTATTTGAAACAATAATAAATAAGTTGATGCCTCTCTATGAAGTTGCAAGCGGTTACCTTCAACACCGCCAGGACTGTTACGCTTTCTTGTACTTTCTAAGCTCATAAAAAGTTTAATAGCAAACAAAGAAACTTTGGAAGAATTTTGAGGAAGGATGTCTCTTGGTCCTTCAACAATCTGGAAATCATACGACAACAACGAGTATTTAAACCGAGTTCGTAAAAAGTTCTTGGAAATTAAAGAAAAAAAAGCGATAAAATCAGAAAGGTTTGGGAGAAGAAAGTTAGTTAAGGTGTTTGAATTAAAAAATAAGTAATCGAGAATAAAATTTAGACGTCAGATGAGTCGCATTAGTAGTACTACAAATAATGGCTTTCTAAAATCTATCTTAGAGGTCCTATTGATCCTTTTTTCCACCGAGTAGCATGAGCTGTGAAGCGGCTAGACGAGAAAACGGTGTTTTTAAAACAAAATAAATAGCAAAACAACGGTTTTGGCCAGGGAAGTATGCCTCACTCGAGATGGTCCGCTGAGGACGATCCGGTTCGATGCGAGACGAAGACGCCACACCGAGAAGTGGAACAACTGTAGACCATCGACAAGGATAATCAGCTGTGATGAAAACGAAGACGTCGAATCGTTAGCCGAATAAACATCTCTGCCAACCTCGTGTAAGATCGACATTATAAACACAAAACACACTAATTAGCATTTTTGAATGATGAAACAATGTAAGCAATAATTTACTGTTTCCCAGCGATTATCATACACGACGTTGTTACTATATTATTTATCCCTTGTCCACAAAATCTGATGTTCCGGTGGTTTAACTCCTTCTTCAGAACCTGGAAAGGTTAAATTGATAAGCATTCCAGTGATTCAAACATTATTCGCTCATAATGGATCTTTCTGTTTGCAATTGTGCATTAGGTTTTACCTGAAGAGGTTACGAAAATGTTCGGTTGAGTAGGTCGCATATCAATTTTACCATTACGAACTCTAAAAAAGGCCAAACCGCCGAAGCATCAGATATTGTCAGACATCAGATATAAGTGCTGTAATTAACAACCTCGTCTTTCCTCATCAACAAAAGCAATGAACTATTGATCGCCACCAAGGTTGGAACACAGTGGGTCTTGGAATTTGCATCTGCAGACATTTAAGTCGAAACATTTCTAGCCACAATAGAGATTTTATAACAACCCAGTGTAAGTTCAACATTAGAACAAAATACTAAGACAATTAAGTATAGCTAAATGTGAATGATGGTCGAGGGGACTACGGTTGTGTTCTGAAACACAACACCGTAAGGAGGGGCGGGCACATGGACCACTCAACCAATCACAGCCGGCGGCACACTGCCGTGCATTAGAGCCGGCGCGCATCGGTCGGAAATTGCGACAGCTTGTAGAAATTAAACAAAGATAGGAGCATTCGTCTAGTAAACCGAGTGCCATGTGGCGATTGTAAATGATATAGAGGAAGTGGCAGCAGCGATGAGCTATTTGGCTAAGCAACTCGCTATAATTCGTCCTGAATCAGATCGTATTACAAACTGAGAATATTGGAGAAGCGATGACTGGCTGAGCTATTTGTACCTCAGAGGCTTGCCCATTCAATCAGAGAAAACGCTATGTTAGCAACGACTATGTTGATCAATTGTCCTTCCAGTCGACTTGGATGGGCCGAATATGAAAGCAGACATAAAAAGTCGAGCTTATGGACGACGAGGTAAGAAGCTGAATCCAATGCCCAATAAAACAACAATATCACCTGAATAATGTCCATGCTTAAGCCAAGAAAGCATGATGATTATCAAATTATCATGAAATTGCAATGATGTTGAGATATAATTTCAGTGATGCTGAGATATTTGCAAAACCCCGGACCGCAGGTGTCTGCGGTGGGGAACGAACGCGCTATTATCATTTCCGGGGAGTAATGCGTTCACCACCGCATCATGCATGTCTTTCGTTTCACCTGTCTCTTAGCTAGTTTTCTGTCGGTCAGTGACATCAGCAATCACTCGCCAACGGAATTGCTCCGAGAAGCCCAGATCGGCATTGAACCCAGTTAAGTTAAGGCTGTAGAAAGAAAGGAAAAAAAATGTATACCATCAAATTACACCATCCATCCACACCAATCTCGCTCACAGCTGCCCGCCATAGCACCCTATTTCGGAAACAGTAGTTGTGGGCTTAAATCTACCTTTTGCAATTTTTTATTGCTAATGTCGTAAGCGATTTAACTTCTACTATAGCGACTTTTTTTTGAGCATAACATATAGCACTAAGTGGCATCAGTGTAAGATGGAATGCCGTATGCTATCTGAAAGACGTACAAACTTACCATCTAACTTTAAGAAATGTCTCGCACTCGAGTAAACATATTCGTGACTCATCGTTATGTTTCTTTCGCTACACTAACACCAATAACGAAAGTTACTACTTATTTACTCATTTGTGTAACACGATTTCACATATTCTATAAATCCCAGTAGTTCTAATACTCAGTTCACTTAGTTGCATCATCATGTGTGAAGTTTTCGGGTTTGCGTGTAGGTTCGATTACTAAAGGATTTTGTCTTCCTCACGTCTTCGAGTGATAGTTAAGTTCATCTTATCCGAACTTCTTGAATAGTTATACTGGTGTTCTCACACCTTTACCATAAGCTGGAGTGAGCTTTTTCCAGATAAACCTGGTTCTTATTTACCACTTTATTTTAATAAACATAGAAGCGGTGGCATTACCTCCTATATATGTACATATGTTTGTATACCTATCTGAATTTTCGCAACAACTATAATAATCCAATTAGAAGCATACGGAGATATGAGCAAAATTCGGAATCTCAGGTGAGCTTCGAATACGCAGCTACCCTTACCGAGGACTCACGTGCTATCCACTAGACCAACAGAGGCTTCCGCTTTACCTTGCTGTCAGTTATAGCACCAATAGAGCAAAAACATTGCTGGGAAAAATGCAATGCAAGGGTCTCGGTTGGTGTGGTTGACAGCACGAAAGCCACCGGCAAGGGTATTCGAAGCCCTGCTGAGATTTCCAATTTTGCCCATACCTCAGAATCCTAGCAGTTGTATTTCACATAGTAACTTACCATGGAAAAAGAACAGGTAGTAAGTAGAAGCTAAGAAACTGTGATGATGTTTTGTTCTCTACAACTCTTTGTATACCGTAATCCCAGCTAGTTAACGGTCATAAACTTTGGACTTTATTTGTACGTCTCTGCATTAATTCAAGCCGTCTAATTACCATCATATATAGTTGTCAAATGCCGATATTCTCAATGTTGAGCAGCTTGTTTACACATTTTTGTAATGTTTTCCTAAAATGGGACAGCCTAACTTTAATACCGCTTGAAGGTGCGTCGATTTAAACAGCTTCTTTTCCTAGGATTGTGCTCAATTTTTCAACTATCAAAAGAAAGGATCTTCTGAAGTAGCTCCCTCATATTTTTTTTATATGACCCGTCTTCACGTCTACTGTGCGGATTCCAGCACTTCCCAAATTCGATTCGTTTCCTCGTATTCATTGTCCAGGAAGATCTTCCAACTTTAACGAATGGCTCCGGTTGTTGCTTGAGGATTTTCATTTCATCTTGGATGTCGTAGAATGCTGGTGGTGCAATTATCCCTGAAATCCTAAGATATCCAGGCTTGAGCGTTCCCAATTGGATTGCAGAAAGTGATTTTTTCCCAGACAAGTCCGGCACCAATTTCTACACTCCAGAGGGATGAGAGGCTTGGGCGACCCAGAGTGGAATCGAACTAGCACCATGCTCGTGATGGCGAACATCACTACCACTGTGCGATCCGCTCTCTATCTCATATTATTATACAGATATGTAACGAATGCTACAATGAACGAACAGCAGTACACAGAGTGGAGAATAAACAATAAAGCACTTGGCAATGACCAATCACTGAGGTATGGACCATGCATTCGACTCATTTATGACATAAACGCATATTTGGCCATAGAATGAATATGACGTGCGGTGGCATAGTGATGTATCAAGTTGGCGCTTTTAACTTCCCATGTAGGTCTAGTTCCAATATTCCGACGTCGAAAGGGTGAGAGCTGGTGAGCCATGAACCCGCAATCGAGCCTGCGACCTGCTCTATATAAGAGCAGCTCTAAGCACACGTGCTCAGTACGTAGAAAGGTTCCCCAAATACCTCACAAGTGTGTATCTCAGTTGACTCATTAAATAAAGGCTATCTTTATTCTATTACACGAAACAGCTCTACACGTTGTGAGAAAGAATTTCCATCATTTGATTCGTTTCCTCACATCCGTCATCCATGAAAGTTTTCGGATTCAAGAGTTCGTTCTGCCGTAACTTGAATATCTTGTCTTACTTATCAGTATCGCTCAATGCTGGTTAAGAACATTCTTCCTGAAATCGTGGGATAGCTCTATTGGAGCACTGAAGCGTTTCCAAAAAAGAAGCTGTTGTTCTTGTCTGTAGATCAGAAGGAATTCCTCCCAGAGAAATCTGGAACCCCTTCAAACATCCCAGAAAAAAACGGAAAGACAGTTGACCTCGGGATGGGTCAAATAAGCGATTACGCGTATGTAACGTCCATGTTTGATTAACTAACCTCAGTCAAGAAACTAGAAAAGAGAGCGGAATCCTTCGTGCTCGTTCTTCCATATCCATCTGTCCACTCAGCACCATTGCATAACCAAAACATTCATATGTAACCATGACCAAATTTATTTAATACAGGCATCATCCGAATATAATTGGCTACACGAAGATCATTGGTGTGGTAAGAGCTAGCTCGTACTGGCCTTCTCCAGGATCATTAACAAAACAATACAGTCGTTCGCATGCTTATATTTGGATCAATAAGAAATGAATTAATCCACTCTCGTAATGAAGTGATCCTAACCGAGTTACATGGCCAAGTTCCAATTCATGCAAGAAAGAAACGTAGTGTTAACAAAAGGCAGCACAGAGAACGAATGCGAGCGCTTCTGTACGAGACTAGACAATCAACTACGACCGAGTTTCTTAAACATATTTATTTCTCGACTGAACTTTTCTAGATTCACAACCGAGCGTTAATTGAAATACGAGCATGCCAATTGAAATTGCATAAAGCCACAGAGAAATGAACACATTTGAGTGGTATATAAACACTTTTAAAAAACAAACAGTTAGGAGGCGTAGTACAAAGGAAGTGAGGCAGATTAAATTTGTCCGGCAGCAAACATTGAAAACAGATTTGGTGAGAGTCAGGATCAAGACGAGAACAGCGAAAAAGGAGAGAAAGGGTAACAAAGATCGAACGAATATCCATTCACAATCAATTGTCCACAAGGTTAACAGTGTGCAATGTTCCCATTACAAGGAAAATGGAACATTCACTTAAGCAGCATTTATAAAAGAAGTTTGTTTTCCTCATCAACAGCATACCACCTTAGCTAGCCTATTCGCGACGAACCCGATGCTCATTTTCAATTACGGTAACTTCTGGTACATCGGACAAAACTGAACTACGTACCTGCTTACCAGTTCAAATCAATCGAACATTAGACAGCTCTACTTAAGATCTCAAATCTATTTCCATATGTCTTCACATAGCAGAAAGTTTATGGCATTTGTTATTCAATCGAGTGCTTACTGATAAGCCATCAAACATGTTGTCCACTTGCAGATTTAACGAGTGCGTGGTATGCAACTTCATCTAACATTAGTGTCATTAGAACAAAGAATTGCGACGGGAGAAGAAGTAATTCGTCACGTTCCTCTCGAAATAGTTCAATATTCCGTAACATATTCGATTCCGAATTCCGACGAAACGATAGATCACCAACTAATGGAAATTACGTATTAATTCTTCAACTTCTCCCGTTTTCTCCAACAAGGTGAAAAATATACGCCAGAGCGAAGAAAAAAAAATTTTACCCTTCCCATGCTGAAACTAATCATTTTACCACAATGGTTTTCCAGGACCTTTCCCAATGTTCAACACTCTAGCGCAACGAGATGTTACTAGAAAAAAAGGGCTACGTTAACTAATACGAGCGAGAACTTGTGTAAAAATAGCGTTAGAAAGTGACAGAAAGTTATAACGTTAATTATGTTCAAAATCAAGCAAAACTGTTCTAAAACTCTTCGCTAAGAAGAGGAGGAGAAACACGGATCGGCTGTTGTTGATCAAGAATCTCGTCGATTGACACCTCTAGTCGTTCGGCCCATCGACAGCATACATCGTAGATGAGAAGCAAGCAGTACGCATCCATTGCCGCGTATCTTAGCTGAAATTAACACTTTAGTATTTTGTTGTTCTTAAGGTTAAAACAGTAAAACACACTAACGAAGTAAGCGCAGAATAGGGAACGGTTAGCAGTTTGGAAAAATAGGTGATACAAAAGCTTTTTGAAATCATTTAGCTTTATTTTAAAACTCAACTAAGGGCAATTTCCATAGAGAAAGTGAAGACGTACAGTTTAGCAGAAGAATATTCCCTTTCTTTAAAAACGAGACGAACTATTTAGAACGAAACCTACCACGAAACAAAACACGAACAATCTACACGTACCTTAAAGTTATAAGTAGAATCCAAGTAATACGCGGAAGGATAAAACCAAACCCTTTACGAAATATTCCGTAAGGCTTTGTGGTAGCAGTACTTGTTCACCATAGACGACGGTAAAACAAAATGTTTGAAGATTTGATGGAAAATGTGCTCGATAAATATGGAAAGAGAACAAATCAACCTCACTGTCAAACAATGGTCATTCGGAAATATGGTTTCTTCATATCTCAAATTCTACTTTGAAAATCTACGTCGTTTAATTGATAACGGCCAGCCGCCTTATTTCCAACAGATTATGAACAACAGATTTTTCGTTGGCTGCGGACTTCCGGGTTTTTAGACAATAAAAAATCAATTTTCATTAACTACGAAGGTTTAGAGGTTATGAACACGACAGGCCTGTAGAAGAGACTTTGATCTATCGTTCAAATGGTATGGATGAAAGGCATGTCATTATTTACTGTGTGTTACTATGATCCAATATGTAAATACACTGCTAGCAGCACTTGGAAGTATTCCGCATTCTGTGTGGAATCCAATTCGGATTTGGACACTATAACGTTCATATGGGTTGTTTGGTCGAGTTCACCACGGACGCTACAGGGTCCATACGTGGTATCATGGGTTTTAACGGACCTACATTTGAGAACAAATAACTCTTTTCGAAGGCAAACACAGAATTTAAAAACCGTTTCAGCTTTATATAAAACTTGATTTTGAAAAACAAGAAGAAAATTTTAAGATTTATTTATTATAAGATCACATCGAGCTCTCAGATAATTCCCAAGCATACTGATTACAACTTCAATAAAATATTCTAGCAAAGAACCGCCCACCGCCCAGCATCACCATATTCCTCAGTTCCAGTCTTTATAAAGTACTTGACTATAATACTTGGAAAACTATATTCTAGGGCTCTATCCAACTATTTCGCTAACAACCATCAGCACTTCTGACAAGCACAAAATCTTGACAATGTGTTAAATTAGGTATAAGATAAACTTTATTTCCTTTCCCCTTTAAAGCTTTACTCTTTAAGGCAAACTTGACTAACAAGGCAATATTTCTCTTGATTGTTAGGATTCTTTGCAAGCAAGATATGATTAATTCCACATTATTCTTGCATTTTGGAAGAGAAAAACACAGAATAAGGACGGTGCTCAATACTTGTCCTAGTGAACGTAAACAACGAAGTAGGTTGAATGTAATAGTCAGAAAGCGAACTTTGCTTAAGTAAAACTGGACATCACGCATGTATGGGTGTAAAATGATTTCCAGACATGTAAATGAATGGTTGGCCAAGCTGGCAAGCTATCGAGTATAGGCGCATTGAAAGTGCTGTAATAGTTACAAGCACTACTGTTATGAAATCTCCTATAGTACGGAGAACGATTGCGGCCGATCAGATTTCTACTGAAAAATAACACTTTAATACATTCCAGGTAGCACAATGAGGTCAATGCTTACATGGGTGTAGGAGTGCAAATAAGCAATTATGCATTACCTTCAACGCATTTACCTTCAGGCTAATTATTTTGCTGCCTGAAGCTATTCTTTCCACACTTTTTGATCCGTTCTCACCCAGAGATGTGTGTCATACAGAGTCCAAAAACCTACATTCTACATCTATAATTTGCAAAAACAACTGCTTTGCTGACGACCAGGCCACAGTATTGCTAATTAGTAATGTATTACAGATATCTTCCGTGACGAAATATTCACAAACGAGAGCGGAATTGCCAACAGATAAGCGTACTAAGACGTTTTTGTTGCGATAATATAACATACGAGAACTGCGGCTACCACTCTGCTTTCCCAGCGACTGAGAAGCACATAAATTGTTGTTGATATACAGAGTAGACTACGTATTTTCAAGAATGGGAGGGTGCAATGGATCGCATATGTGTTCAACGCATACTGTGCGAGGAGAAAAATTGAAGCACCATGTGGTCGTCAATGCAAACTATACGTTGTCATGAAAGTGCAAAAAATCAATGAAAATATCAACAACGAGTGAAAACAAAAGTACTTAGTCGGAATCATCAAGGGTAGCAAAATCGGACGATACTCAGCAGTAAACTGGATGACAAACATATATAGTCCAGTAATGCATTTTGACACAAACCCTATCAGTACTGGTCATATGAACTGGTCATATGTGGATTAAAACTCGCACCAAAATTAGATGGAGAATATCTGAATTCGATTAGTTCAACACGCCAGGCCTAACCGAAAACATGACATGAATAATATACAAACAAGTTTTACGGCTATGACCAACTTTATACTTTGTATACAAACCTGCGATGACCGCAACGGTCGTCGGTCCCACACTGAACATTGTTCGGTTTTATCTAACGGGCGCCCTAACACTCGTTCACAGACGTAAGACAGTCCCCAATTCGCTGACCGTTGCACAATCGACTCTTGTCCTTGGTCTTTAGGAAAATTAACATCCGTTACACCTTCAATTGAAATACGTACTCATCATTTAGTTTATTTTAGTAACGAATAGCTAACCCATTAATGCGTTCTTATCAAATAAACAAGGATAAAAAAATTTAAAGCATCATGCTACTTGTTTTCTTTTCTTAAAACGATCAATTTGCGCTTCACTTAACTTATTCACAGGTAAAATTTTCAGAAAACTTTCTTGGATATTAACCTTCGGCTGTATCTTGTTCAATCATCTGTGATTGCTCCAATTCGTTATGTACAGTCGGTGGAGGAAGGACTTCATTCAGAATCGCATCGTTATTTTCCAATCTCTCTGTTCGTTCCAGCAACTACATTTGAAAAAGTGAAAATTACCAACATATATGTCACACACGGAATACGCCTTAACTTAGGCTCTGTTATACTTGTCAAGTGAACATCTTAATAAAATAAAGGAATTACATTGAATACGGAATTAACTCTCCAAGCTGTTTAAGGAAGTGAAAATTTGCAATCGTATTAGTGTCGTCGGGTTGATACTGATTTCTCATTACCTACCAGTATTTTTCGATAGTTGAAGCATTTAGGAGCATGAGCATTAAACGATTGTCGAAGAGACTTCGTATTGATAAAAAAATATTAGGGCATAAAATTTCTCAAAGTATAAAAAAAGAAATGAAAATAAACCAGAGTACAGGAACCAAAACAAAAACATTTAAACTTTTAAAAGGTATTACGAAAGAGCAACAGCAGAAAATACCAACGATTACGTGGGAACAAAAATTAGTCATGTAGACAAAATACCGTCTTAACTTCTACTCACTGCCTATTTTTCATATAAAAAAAGATAAAGCTGTCGCCGTTGATCAACCCCTAAGGGATGCGCCGTGCATTCGACTTCACTAAGTATCGTTTGAGGCGATTTAATGCATATCTAACCTTGACAATGACTCGCGATGGTCTACCGATGTATCGAGCCAGTGCAACCATCCTGCCAGATAAGTCTGGTACCAATTTGCTGACCCCCGGAGGAATGGAAGACTTGGTGAGGCCTGGGTACTGGGATCGACTCCATGCCTGCGCGTTACAGTAGCGCCTCCAACCACAGCGCCACACGCGCCCTATTTTCCACATAACTAGGTATTATGTGAAATAAACTACAAGGATGCTGAGACATATGAAAACAACGGATCCCCGGTTTGGTTTCGAACTCCCTCTACGGGAGTAAAGGTAAAATCCCGTTTGTTCAATTGCTTTGAAGCTCCAAACAGAAACCTTTGTAAAAAAAAAAAAAAAAGCAAAACAGTGCAGTTAATGGCTCTTCTGGCCTCATCTCTACAATTAGGACTTAGGTATCGAATGAGTATATAGGGTGTAGTGAAAAAAAACCTGAAACTCCACTAAACCAATATGAGCACTACTCCACACGGTCGATTGGCCTGTATCGCTATGGATACTTCAGTCCATATGGCGGGGAAGAATATATTAATGAAGTTCGCGGAGAGCTAAGATTTTACTGGCTAAAGTTTAAGGACTAAGGATGACTAAAATATATTCGCCTTCGTGCCACCCATAAGCGACTTATAACGTTGCGAATGTGTTGATTGATACCAACTTGGAATGCTCATAATCTACTTCAAAAATACCGAACGGGAACTACTTCAAGGAGAGTACCAAATTCGTTCTACTTACCTCTGCAACCAACTTTCCCACACAAATCACGTTCTCTGGCTCAAACAACGCGCGACAGTGAGGAACAGCAGCCCGCAATTGCGTAAGATCTTCACTGAACTGGAATCCTAAAACACTTGGATTTTATTTGAAAACACATACATAATTACTACTATTCTTTTCAAAAACTGTGGTAATATAAATACATACACATGTTTGTTTGGGTTCACTAATTGTATAATCGGGCTATAGTCAACCCAACGGTTTACCGCCTCGCCGTAGCTGGGAGGTGTTCCTGGGTGTCGGTATGCGATGCACAGCGTAGAGATTCATCCGCCTGGTAGAGTTTCCCAAGTTGAGAAGGAGTCCAACATTTCAATCAGGAAGTCCAGCTAAGAGTAAACTAATACCAGGATCCACCACCGTCTTGGTATCAAACTAGCCGAATGATGGCAAATATCCTTATTCACAACCGCAGCGACTGCCTGTGGTGGTGATGAATTGGGGCAGTTTAGCCAGGCCGACCTCAGGACTTTAGCGAAACACAACGGCTAAACCAGTAAAACTCTGAAAAGTGGAAAATATGCTGCTGGGGCCCACACAACGAGTGAGGATGGGCCGTCCAAGTACCCAAGTTTGATTGGACTAAATGACATTCTTCTCAAAAAGTAGGAGAGGAAAAAAATAGCACAACTGCAAGTCTTATCATTAAACAACTCGGATGAGCATCCTATCAATTACTCCCAAAATTCCTTCAAATTAAACCCATCTCACCCAATTTGAGAATTGCCTTGTCAAGAAACAACATGTCGAAGAATTCTTGCAGTGAACTAGCAGGTAGTTCAGCACGGTTATCGAGATCGATTATGAAAATACGGTCACGCAATGATAACTGCAGTATCGTCGCTCTAAACGTTCAAATCAAGTTTGAAGATGTGAAGAAAATAAAAAATTTACCTGCTCTTCGCAACAAAAGCGCTCCACTCCGCATCAAGCCCCACGATCAACTGCCCAAGAGGACTCCTATTTTTCAAACGGTTCAATTCCTCTGTGAGAATATGCAGATCAGCAGCCGTACGAACGAACACAATACTCTAAAACATGACCAGAAAGGATACAAAGCTAACCGGTGAGCAACAATAACTTAGAAGAATACGAGAAATAGAGACACACTTCCACGTTAGCAGGAAAATTCAAGAAATCCTCCGTGGGAAGTAGAGGATCGCTACAAAGTTCATTCCTGAAAAGCAAAGTTCCTACAAAAAACCAGAAACATATGCCCATGTTGAAATATTAAGCGACTAACCAATGGCGTTTACATCGAAATAAAACTTCAAACAAGAAATCTATTATCATGTCCACACCTAAGTCAACGGGCTAGCCTGCACGACAATTCATAAACAAGAAGAAATCCTAATTCAGTAAAGTTTCGTATTTTGTTCCCCTGAAGGGGATGTTAACATAATCATTATGAGAATAATGCATGGAAAATAGTATCCTCTAATATTGCATGTTCATTCAGCGTTGGAATGCTCATCCTCTCAAAGGTTTCCCGCTCACGTGGCTGCGAGATGATCCTGGATGTTGGGCTGCGATATACAGCGGGGGATTCATCCCCCCGGCAAGGTCTTCCAAGATGAGGAGCCCGGCGTTTCCACTAGTAAGCCCAGCTAAGAGTAAGCCAATACCAGGATCCACCACCGTCTAGGCACCAAACTAGTTGCATGGTGGTAAACCTCCTTCTGATCCAGAAGGGCGACGACTGCCCGTGGTGGTGACGACCTGGGGCAGACTGGCTAAGCTGACCTCGGGACTCCAGGGAAACACCATGGCTAAACTAGTAAATCCCAGAAAAGTGAAAATTATGGTGGGGTCCGTACAACTAGTGTGGGTTGACCGTCCAAGTATCAAGGCTGTCACTCTCACAGAAAAGTGCATAGGTGTAGTAACGCATGTGGTACAAATTGCAAATGTGTTCCCCGCATAGGAATGTGTATACATGACCCCTAATTTTTATGTTTGAACATCTCAATTTTGGCATACAGTACTCAAATTCTCCGTCTTAAAATCTCAAATTTATTCTATTCTTCTGAAACCTTGATAAAACGATAAAAAGGATAAAGCTCTCGGCGTTGATCAATCCCTGAGGGATGCACCATGCATTCGACTTCACTATGTATCGTCGGAGGTGACTGAACGCATACCTGGCCTTTAAAATGACTCGCAGTGGCCTACCGATGTATCGAGGCAGTGCTGCTATCCTCCCAGACAAGTCACATCAATTTGCCCACACCGGAGTGATGCAGGTTGAATGCAACGCCAGTAACGGAGATTTACCACCATGCGACTAGTTTGCTACCAGGACGGTGGTGGATCCTGGTATTAGTTTATTCTTAACTGGGCTTACTGGTAGGCATTTGCTAAATCTGAAGACTTCGTGAGCCTCGGGCTCGGGAATCGATCCCATGTGTGCATTGCGAGGCCTCTCCGACCACTGCGCTGCACCCGCCACATGAAACCTTGATATAGTTCTTCAGATGTCTGCTAAATAAGTCACCTTACTGGATAACTGACCTGTTTCGCACATTTGTTCTACGCATAAGTGCAGGTTGCATGCAACGCCAGTAATGAGCCGCACCATAATCGTGAAATTCTTTTTCGAGTAGGTTACAAATATACCTAATAAAAATTTAAAATATTAGTGATGCCTCACAAAACAAGAAATGTGTGTGTAAAAATATCAATAGTTTAATAAATGACAAACTAAAGATAACGGAAAATCATTAGACAAGAGGACAAAAACCACACTTCTTTAAAGTCGGACGTTGACACATGATTGTCCAGATCAGCTCATACAGATTCTCTTCTTTCCATGTCTGTATCAAATTCTTTCAACACAAACATTTAAACATAGTAATTTAATAAGAAAATTTCATATTTTCCCGTGTTTTAACCTCTGAACATAATCGTGAAATGTCGAGCTTTATGCAACAAAAATCTCAGATACCTTTTCTACATATGTCTTTCTTGCAAATTTCTTCAACGCCGCACATGCCCAGCCAATAGGAATTGTGGTATCCGTGCAGGATTCTGAAAAGTGATTCACATTATGCAGACATTTGCTAAAACAAAGAAGCAGTTCTGATAATAGCTGAGTTACATGACACAGGAACTTATTGAAAAACTCATCAAATTCATAAATTGAAATTAGGGAAATTGAATAGTAATGTAATGTTTTAACGTTTTGTTTTCTGCCTTCTATAATTTTCATGGCAGGTTACTAAGCGAAATACAACCACAACGTTGCTGAGATATTTGCAAAACTCTGGACCGCAGGTGTCTATGGTGGGGAACGAACGCGCTATTATCCTTTCCGGGGAGTAACGCGTTCACCACCACACCATGCGGGTCCTTTGTTTCGCACGTCTCTCAGCTATTTCTATCGATCTTTTTGCCACAGCAATCACCCGTCAGCGGGGTTGATCTGGGGAGCGCAAATCGGCATATAACCCAG